AGTTGATGTATTGACGTAATGTACACTGTGTAACAAAGCACAAGATTAAGCAAAAGTGATACCGCCTAACTAGTTCAGAATAGCCTACAAAAAGTACAGAGTAAAAAAAAAAATATCGTTACTTCTTTACTTCCAGAATGTATGCAGGGACACCGTAACGAACTTGAGTACCAAGCGATGATCACAGGCCCTTGTTTTTGAGATTTCGTATAGCGACCTGAGAAATTATTTTGATCTAATATGGGGGCGCATACACACTTTTTGTCTTTGAAATACAAGTTTTATTTAATCAATCATGGGAAGAGAAAAGGACATGACCTTTTCAAGATTTTCTAGCAAGGAGCCAGTTGAAAAAAGGGAAAAGTTTTCTCAAAATGATTATATTTTAGCGCCTTGGGTAGAAAATTAAAGGACAGTGGTACACCAGAATCGACACCCCTGCCCCCTCTTCAGAAGGTGAATGACAGCAGTCATGTGGGCGGTAGTGTCTTCACCTGTTATTCGTTTATTTTAGGCGGGAGTGAAAGCATTTTTTACCACAAAAGAGAAAGTTTGTGCGATATGACATCATCATATCGTTTATACGGACAGATGATCCAACCCTTGTTTCTTTTTTTCTCTCTTATCACTTACTTTACTTGAAACACGTTTTCGATTCATGAAAGGAGAATGTTCCAAAATAAGGGCTCATTAACTCAGAGCGAAATCTTGAAATACCTACTGAACACCCGGCTGAACTGTGTGTGTGTGTGTGTGTGTGTGTGTGTGTGTGTGTGTGTGTGTGTGTGTGTGTGTGTGTGTGTGTGTGTGTGTGTGTGTGTGTAAATGTTTATTCGTTCATTCGAGTCATCATAATACAAACCACTCTGACGTACAGTTAGTGGTGCGACTGCTAAATGTATATATCGTGTGTGTGTGTGTGTGTGTGTGTGTGTGTGTGTGTGTGTGTGTGTGTGTGTGTGTGTGTGTGTGTGTGTGTGTGCGTGTGTAATTATAATATATAGTTAATATATATCTCTATATATAGATAACATATAGTTAATAATATACCATAATTCAAATTAATAAATTATAATATGTACACACATATTTATTTATTCACGTCATCACTACACAAGTAAACCACTCATCAAATGCAGAGGTAGTGATACCAGCATAGCAAGTACGACCGCTATATGTAGCAAACTCGTAACTTCCAAATCATAAAAGAAATTATTGATTTTACGAGAAAACTCATACTTAATTTTGTGGAATGACTGGCAATTTATATGAAGAAGACATATAGTTTGAGACAAGATTAAATAACATAATAATGAAAATTAATATAATTAGCAGTGTCATCTCCCTGACAGATCATGATCAACGGTATCTTACACCAATGTTTTGTGTAATTACTTTTGAAGTGTTACGTGGAAAAATCTTCATATTAACTAAATTAAGTAAATCTTAACTACGATGAGAAAATAGATAAGGATTTATAACACTGAAACACACACACACACACACACACACACACACACACACACACACACACACACACACACACACACATATGCTATAAATATTGTATCTGAACTTATTTGGCCTGATTTGAAAGGATGCTAGGTTAAAACTTCATTGACTACTTACTTTCTCATCTTCCGGAGAAAATCGCCCGAATTTTCATGTCAGTGTGTCGACACTGTCTAGTAAGGGAAGGAAAATGACTCGATCCTCAGATCCACATTTGATTGATTTCCATCCATTACGACGACTCACCAATATTTTTCACGCGGTTACGGATCAAGGTAAAGTCTATTCGTGGACTGTCAACTAATTCCGGGTACAATAACAACAAACACACATAAATACGTGTGCATTGTTTCTCAATGCGAGATTATTTGTCAGTCGACAGACAGCATATAATACTTTTTTCACATTCCCAAATTGGTTCCAGGAATGTGATCAGAGTTCACAATATTAGGGATATTGTGTTTTCAGTGTTTTCATTTTCATAAAATGTGTTATTAGGCATTTTACATATTAATGTAGAATTACTGTATTACTTATATACATTTTCTGGTGCCTTGAATAACCCTGGGGGGCTAGGGCTTCTGGTGCCTGCCTCGGCCACCTTCTCGCTTCAGGGCTTTTATAACACAAAGTGCGAGTTCCATATCTTCTTTCTTTCTGGCCTCGGGGTTCCTTTTCTTTTTCTTCACGCTCATCGTTGTTCCAGTGGCTCTATTCTGCACGTCCTGCTTCTTATCCGGCAGTACCCCACTGACTATCTTTTCCTCGTCTAGGCTATTTTCAATGTTTTCTGCGTCCTGCCGTGTTGTAGGTTCCTCAGAGTCTACAGATGCAGAACCGGCTGTGGCCAAAGCTAAGCTCTGATTCTTTCCAATCGTGATTTTTTTGGCTCCATTGTTCTTCATTCCTTTTGAAAGGCTTTGAGAGATTTCCTTTCTTATGCATATATTCTCTTTATTAACAGTAGTATTCTCCAATGATATTGCTTCACCTGTTTGGCGAATGGAGTCGGCTAACTCCTGAAACTGCTGTGCCAATTTGGCACGGGAGTCGTAAAGCGTGGCCATCGTGTCATTCATTTCGGTCTTCATTTTCTCAAACATTGCTTCCGTGCCCTTTAGCTCAGCCTTCAACCCCTTCACAGTATCATGCACTCCAATTATCTGTACAAACGCTGTCTGCAACAATTGCGTCAACCTCAGGATTGCTGGCTCCACATCTTCTCCAGATATGGTTTCGCTACACATAGCCTGGTTTCCCACGAAATGACATTGCAGCGGCTCTTCCCAGCTCTTCAGTGCTGCATTTACCCCATCTATTTCAGATCCGGCTCCCGCATCCCTTGCCTGGTTCTCCACGGAAGGGCTTTCCGATCGTGTCCGTCCTTTTGGAACAGTACCATCGCCCGCTGTGATGTCTCCTCTCTCCATGGTTATGAGTATAATCCTTTATAATTCTCTTTTGAAAATTCAGTGTCACTATATGGTGTCAGTGATTTTTTTTCGGTTTCAAAACGTCCCTTCGTCCCTTCTCTTCGTAGTAGTAGCACTGATTGTCACTTGGGTTCTTCCCTAGTCCATTCTATATATTTGACTCGAGAAAGCACTCGCTGCCACTGTCGCTGCGACTCCCCGTGACACCACATTCACTCCACTTTCACATTAAAATTCTCCGAGGGCTACGTCGTTCTTGATTTTACTATATTCTTTTTTTATCCGGTCTACACTGTGCATTACGTTATACATTACGATCTACTGCACCAAATTCATTCCAGTTATAAGACTCATATTCAATTCGCGTCTTAGGGATACGTGAGCCTGTTCTCTGTACGACCTCAGAGAACACTGGGAGATATCCAAGACTACCTGAGGGCCTCTAAAAAAAAGAACTTCAACCTAGGTATTAATAGTTGCCAGCGGTGAATAACGCGATCACGTTTGCGAATTTGTCACGGTCATTTTTATAATATTTATATCTTTTTATTCAAGATGTGTGGTTGCGATATATTTTATGTGGAAATAATTACCAAGACTAAAATATTATGAGCATTACTACTACAGAGGCCTATTTCTCGCGGAAGTAGCTGTTAAAGACTTCAATAGAAATTCCCATACATGGAGTATGGCATGCTGAGACTAGGGTAGCAGAGAGTTGCTACATACATTCGTAATGTAATTTAGAAGTGACGGACAGCATTCCCTGTGACTCTTTTCAGATTATTCGACTGTATCACTTGAATAACTGTGTACTAAACACGGGAGTCTTTATAAACGCCATGCCATACCCATTAGCGGAAATCCGCTACACTGGCAACACTTTGAGGAAAAAGATAAGAAAAATGACAGGCAGTGTCAGTTTCAACACCACGAACTAAGAAAAAGACTCCTGTCATAGAGCTTGAACGCGCATTACAGAAAAATGGATCGAGAAAGAATTGAAGGGTGAGTAGAACACGCTCATGCCATATATTAGTAATAATTAAACAACTTAACTTTCAGATTTGCGAACTGTGAAAAAAGTTTTATGAAAATTTGAAGGCTCGTGAATCAGTAAATGTGAAAGTGTCATCACTATCTTTTATTATTTATATACACCCTATATCAGTGAGAACCATGATAGCATATTAAAGATAAAAGGAGGTAGTAAATGGTCTTGTGGAACACCTGCAACATGATAATTGTACCTATATTATATTACCAATTCGTTTGCAGTTGCATATCATTGACATTTGGGTGTCACTGCACTTACGTTTTAGGAAGTTTATGATAGTTGAATAAGGAAGGTAAATATTAAGATAGACATATGTAGGGCCTTGGAGGAACCCAGCTGTCAGTACAGGTGTATGTTGGTATAGGATTGCGCAGCCCAAAGCAATTAAATCCCTCAAGCAAAGAACAGCCATCTGATTGATAATGGATGGGTACGTTTTGCCCTCCCTTTTCTTCTATGGGCAAGGACATATGCAGATAGAACCTGTTCTTTGGTGCGCTTTTTCTATCTTACCCCCTCTGCCAGTGGCCTTACACCCATTGATGTGACTCAAACACCAATCATTGCTATGGTAAAGGCAAACAAACCACCATATATGGTCAGGCAAGATAGAACTTGTAAAACTCTATAGGAATTTAAGGTTTGATACAGAGCCAATCCACACTCTTTCACACCATAATATATGGGGTAGAAGATTTAAAGGTAAAATAGAAATATATTAATACACAAGAAATTTGTAATTTTCAGTATAATAGTTCCTCCTTCAGTTGGTAGTATGTGTGTATTTAATGCTTAAGTATAGATTTTCTGGAACATTTTAATCGAAAATTAGTAGTAATTTCATGGGACCAGTAACCATCATTGGGTGGATATTTAACTTGTGACAGAGTGTATAAAATCAGGTGATATTAGCAGTCACTAGGTTTCATATCAATTTATTCCCCTCTAATAAAGATCTAATTAGTTTTTGAAAGAGATGTGGCTTTTGTATTTTAATAGTGAGTGGAAGATGGAAATAATAGCTGAAACCATGAGTTTGGCACTTGAGCTTTAATATCCTTAAATCATTTTACTTGTATACTTTTTGTATCCCTATCACTACAAAAAGTTGTACATTTTTCAGAATGAGGCCTCACACTGCTGAGGCATTAGAAAGCTTACTGCGGCACAATGCTGCAAGTGAGATTGAAGAAGAAGAACGAAGGTAAAATCTGGTTTAGTCAAAAACATTGTGATATGCTTGATAGAAAGTTTTATGCTTGAATTATGAATGTTACTGATACAGGAAAATGTCATGATTATATAACTCATTGTTTGAAAAAGTTGATAGTTTAAAGAGTTTCACCTTTATTCCAACTTGTTTTTAATGTTTTTTTTGTTTGTTTGTTTTTTCATCCAAATTTTACAGAATGTACGGATGGGTTGATGACACCATTGGTATTAATTTCTGGGAATTTAGAAAAAGAAATCATGCCCTCCTCAGCTTTTTTGAAATATGTGAAGACGTCAGTTATTCTGAGGGTTGGAAAACCTTTGCAGAAAAATTGGGGCTTGACTACACAAATATACAGGCAAGTGATTTCAGTCTTTAGTCACCTTTTCATTTGTCATTGTTCAGCTTATTATATTTTCCCCTTTGATCAGTTTTTAATTGATTTTTGACATAAAGAATTGCTTGAAGTTTTGATCAGTATTAATATAATATCTGTTGATGTTTTCAGCACTGTGAGAAATTTTGTGGTCAAGCAGGACCAACAAAAGCAGTACTTGACAGACTAGAAAGTAAAAAAGAATACATTGGATTAACACTGAAAGATGTCCTGGCTGTGCTGGTGGATCTTGGGCAACACGATATCTTACGAAGAGTCAGTTGGCAGGAAGGCATAAGTAAGATCATTGGAGTTTGTGTAGACCTCAGGTATCAGATTTGAGGACATTTACTTCTGAGAGAAGTAAATGATATTTCAAAAGAATAGATGCTCAACATAAGTTTTTTCTTGGTATTATGTACCCCTAGGACACTGAGGTACTCTCATTAGGTTGCAGTGCCCAGACTTGTGAGGAGGGATAACCTGTAGTCCCAGTTGTGATTTTTAGTTTAGCCTTCAGCAGTACTTACTGTATGGCTATACCGATGATTTTTTTTCTTCTTTTCTTTCTTTCTTTTTCCATCCTTACTCATATATTGTCTTGAAAATTTGTATATTATGTCAGGCACCAAGACCTAGTTCAATACTTTATCTTTCACCAAATAAGAAAATTAAATGAATGCATGCACATGACACATCACAACTTTATTGGATATACTGAAAATGTATACATTCTAGAAGTTATGTAATTTGGGATTCATTCATTTAATCTCAAATAGATTATAGATTTTTAGATCAAGAAGGCATACAAGTAGGAAATGTTTGAAGTTTAAGGAAAACTTGAGTTGAATAACAGAATATATAGAGAATACCTCATCAGTATTATTCAATTTTGTTTTTACATTTGGATTTTAGGAAGCTATTCACTGAAAATACTTGGCATAATAACATAGAGCATGGAATTCTGTTTTTCTTTCAAAGAAAAGTTTGAGAAAGTCCAGAATGTGCCACCTGCAATTAAAGAAGGCTACGAAGACACTGTGCCTGCAACCTTCTCTTTGGATATAAAACGAGGATGTGAAACCCTGGTGTGCTCAGCAAATGAAGGAAGGGTAAATGAAAACATCATAAGAAGAGAATTACCTCCGCAGGGATGCCAAGTGAAGATTTTGATGGTCTTTGCTTCTGATGCCAGACGGGAAGCTTTAGAGGTAGTTTTGTTCATGAGGTGATTGAGGTTGAAATTTTTGTAATGGATGTTCATTTCAGTATCTTTAAAACATGGGACTTTATTTCCCACCATAAAGTTTTCATAGACATTTCATTTTTCTGATACTTCCATGTCATAGGCTATTATTATTGATCTTAAGTTAAGTCCTAAAGTTAATTGTATTTAAAAGGATGTGGTTATAACTTTTTAGGCTGGAAGATTATATACAGTTATAATTTCTAGATTCAATTTTTCCATTTTTTTTCATTTTCATATTTAATTTTTAATGATTTGCTGTTTATTTTTGTAGAGTTCTCACACCACCCTTCTTTTATCTTCTTAACTTCCTTTCACACCCTCCCTTTTTTTATTACTTCACCTTTACTACACTTCTGTAGATATTAACTATTCTACTAGTGTTCTTAACCATGTAAAAAATATCTCATTTTTATGGGTTTCATATCATATCAGTGTAACTATATTTATATCATATTGAAAGATCATCTTCACATATTAACAGAGTATGTTTTTCAAATATTGTAAGGTTAAGTGATGTATGTACATCAAGGCAAGGCTACATGAATTTTTAATATAGCTTTGATGTCAGGTGGTGGAGCAGTTACGGAACCCCTTGACTTCAAGAGGCAGGGTTGGAGTGCTATTGCTGATGGGGGATGTTGCTTCAGCTGTTGCTGCTAATTTACGGATGGACCCTCACAACAGTATCCACAAATGGTTCAAACAGGTAATGAAAAATGTCTCTGAATATGGGACATTTTACTTTTCATTTTACTATTAATATACATGTGATTCTAAAAATTGTGTACATAATTAGTTTAATTTCATATATAGCTTATACATATTATTTCAGGTCAGGTTTGTTGTCCCAGTGCTGTCCCCCCAGTTTCTAAAACAGATACAGAATCGTGATAGGAGCAACCAGTCCATTGAGGAGAAGATATACAACAGATTTGTGTATCGTTTAACTCTGGATGACTATGTGGCCAATATGAGTCGTAACACCAAGTGCAGGCCACTCTATCCTAGTTGCTATCACAAGGAGGTAAGCAGTTTTTCAGTTACAAAATTCATATAATTAAATATCCAAATTGTCATAGAGATTAAAGATCATATTCCTAAATTGCAATCATAAAGATAAACTAAATAGATGAGCTGTCATCTTCAGAGTATACATTTTTAATGCATTTTGTGAATATTGGATATAGCAATATTTTTTTAAGGCATTCTGGTGAAAAACTGGGTTGTAAATGATTCCAATTTATAAGTCTGTAAATCTAATTACTAAAGCAATGGTATACATGTATTTCAGGTTGTTGATAGTGAGCTTGTTAGAGGAAATGGACTGCTGCAGATACACTGGAACTGCTCTTCAAAGGACAGTGTTGAACAGTTTGCAGAACTTTTAATTGATGAAGCAAAATATCTGTGACTATGTTTGTGAATCAAGTTTTTGTTAAATGTTATATGAAATTACAAAAAAATTACTTGAGAAGTTTAGATGTAATATGTCTTGGGGAGTAAGTAATACCATTCAGATATATGGTAGATCTGGGTAAGCATTTACTGTAAACATTATGTATAATTCCTATATTAGAATAACAAGTTTGGAAAGGAGGGTGATATATATATATATATATATATATATATATATATATATATATATATGTATGTATGTATGTATGTATGTATGTATATATATGTGTGTATGTATTTTATATAAAGCTTAGTATTTGAAGCAAATGATCAAAGTGAGATACATAGCAAGAATGTGTCATGGTTATGGTTATTTTTAATTTTTTAATGAGTATGATGTGATGGCCTGAGAGGTTTACAATTGAACGCAATCTTCATACTGAAAATATTTAACCCATTCGCCCCAGATTTATGTTCTGTCCTCTGTAGTTTTTGGTGAATTTTGTTACATACAGATGGCTCCACATGTGCTTAGCCGGCAAGGAGTCTATCAGTAGGCCCTAGTTACCGACCCTGATTTTCCCATTCATTTAATTGGCGGGAAAATTAATACCATTGCTATCAATACTGTTATTGATATTATGATTATTAAATTGTCATTAGAATATTTTAGACAATGAAATGATGCAAAAAAACTTTTCCTAAAGTGAAGGAAAAGGGTAAACAGGTGAAATAGGTATTTCTTGATAACTGGCTATTTGGTGATTAAGAACTTGTGGAGCCATCTATGTGTAAATACAATAAATAAACGTGTATCAAAGTGGGCATGGCATCTGTTCTTGCCACATGTGGCGAATGGGTTAAAAGGGATTTCTCATTTTTTCGGGTTATATATAATGTTACCTGATCATAGCATTTTACAATTCTACATTCTGTACAATAACACTGCATTTAGTATTTAGTACAATTTAAGTGCTATTTTAATAGAACATGACAAGAATGACATAATATAGTTCTCAAGAAATCAAAACTCTTATCTGTCTGTCTTTCACTGCTTGCTCATCTGTCTTTCTGCCAACAGTTTGTAACACTTCTGAAGATTGAACGAAAATATCACTTCAGCAGGACAGAATATTTGTTAAGAATTTGACTATTAACCCATTCCTTATAGAATGTACTATTTTTGGTAATGAATATATTCTTATATCCACCAAGTAGTCAATTAGTAAGCCTTATGTTACTGCTGATTTGCTATTTCCTCTTCTTTCATTCTTTCCTTCTCTTTAAATGCTGTTAATACTGTTGGCATTGTTATTTTTATTATTTACATTATTGATGCTATAATGTTATTAGATTATCAGTAACAATAAAGAAATTAAAATAATATTTATAAGGTCAAGGAAATATGTAAACAAATGAGATAGGTAGGACTAATAAATGACTCCTTGGTGACTGACTACTTGTAGAGCTATCTACAAGCCTGTTCATAAACTAAAGGTGACTAGTGGGATACATATAAATTCTTTGAAGTTTTTTTTGTATATTACACCAAATTCAGTGGATGTTGAAAGTGCAACAATGTGTAGGTGTAGGTGGATTGATGGATAAATGTATATATATATATATACACATGAATGATATGCATGTGTATCTCTACTCTATGTTTAAACTTTGGTAATTCAAAGTGGAACAGGACAGTAACAGTATTCAACAATATATGGAAAGGTTATTTGTAATTTCCAAATAAAGGAATCTCAGGAAACAATACTGTGGTTTATTTCCAAGGGTGAATTTTGGGTTTGTTTTTTTATTAAAGGGGACATTTCTTTTTCAGATTTTTATTTTTGTGGAGGAGAAATTTCTTTTATTAACTTCAATGTTTAGTTTTACCTAGTGGAGATTTAAAGACTTTTTTTTAAATTGATCTTTTATATTTTTTGCTTTAGTCAGAAAAATGAATAGTGCATTTTCTTTGGTATTATAGCAACATCTCTTTTTTTCTATTCTGGTATTTCACAATATAATTCAACAAAAATGTGTTTCTAAAAAAGAAAAAAAAACGTTGATCACATTTCTTGCTTTAATGAGGGAAAAAATAAAGAGAATATAGGCTCCTGTATCTTCAACCAGTGTCTTTCTGAATAAATCAAGAGCAGTTCCAACATCCCTAATCAAAACTTGGAACTTAGATGAGACCAGGAATAGAGAGATTTGCACTTCAGTGATTACAAATTCTTATCTTATTCATCCCATGCCCGTTGTTATTGTGGGGGGGCATAGGAGACAGTGACTGGGGCCAACCAATTTTGCATGGTCTTTTCTTCTCTCCCTTTCCTTTTCCTTCTCTTCTCCAGTCCCTTCTACAGTCCACTGTGTTGATTGGCTGAAAGAAAGGTTTTGTGTCAATCTTGAACGGCCCTGGGGGGGGAACCATAAGCAAAGGGACCCTGAGGTGTAAACCTTTCTCTTCTCCATATATTTCCTCACAGTTGACATCCTCTACACCATCTCCTCCTCCTGTAGTCTTCCTCATTTTCTTCCATCTCTTCTATTATTACCACTCTTCATCCTTAATGTCTTTTACTACCTCCACCTCCAGAGATCTTTTTTAGTACTGTTTTTAGCCCATTGAAGAGGGAACGACTTTTTGTGATTCCCCTTTATCCCTAACTCTGACAGTACCATCCTCTTTCAACATCTCACAAAAGTAGGCAGTTTTTCCGATCGATCGTTCACGCCTTGCAACAGTTACATCTGAGTCATAAGCTCGTGCATTACCTACTCTTACTGACCTCACTGGCAACCCAATCCTTACCCAGCTCCCCTCCTCCCTTAACACTTATACCGGAACAGTTTCCATCTCCGCGGCTGATTGGCCGGTCTAAGCCAAGAATTGGTCAGATTGTGAAAACCCCATGCTTGCGTGCCTCGTTGACTATGATGCAGTATCACCACAGTACTACACTATTTCCCCCCATGAAATTTATATTGGCGGAGAATCCTTCCGTCTGACCACACCGACCCTTCCCCCATCAATGTCAGAACTGACGTTTTCGTCACCATGCCATGCTCTGTCGCTCCACAACCCGCTGAGCACGATGTGCCCAACCTGGTCTTGACCGTTCAAATTGCTGTGCACAATCACGCACGTGCGTCATTTGTGGTGGCTCCCATAATGTACTCTTTAGAAGCTGGCCTGCCTACAAGTTCGAGTTAGAGGTAACAGTTCTTAGGTTCAAACTAGGCCTCGCTCTAAGCGAGGCCAGAAAGGAAGTACGGCAACGCGATTCTTCTCTCGCTACCAATCCAACGTTGTCCTCTCCACTCCTCTCCCTCCTTCCCAAAATGTCTCAATATCTCTTCCTCCTGTTCTTGGCGTTCCCAATTCTACCCCCTACCTCTCCCAGTCAAATTCTTTTGCCATTCTAAATCCATTTCTGCCATTTCTCCGGTGCCTACCTCTCTTTCTCGTTCTCCCCATCGTATCAGACAACCCAAAAGTTCTACCCCATCTTCTACACCGACCTCTTCCTTTGCTCCTCAGACGCCTGTCCCTCTTCTCCCCTTCATAAAAAAAATATTTCAGACATCCCCGCCCAACTCCCCTCCAGAAAATCTTGAGGACGTTCAAACCTTCCTAACCATGACCCAAGAGAACATTCCTCTCCATCATCAACCTCCAATGTCTCTACTCCCATTTCCTCTACAGTCAAACGGATTGCTGACATCCATCCTTATCCTCCAATTGTTCCCTCTCTCCCTCTTCCTCCCACTCTCACCTAACACACCCCATTCACCCCTTCTCCATCTGCATTATCCCTTCCGCTCCCTCCTGGTTGCTCGCGTTACTTCCTTTTGTCACAACAGTGTCCTTCCCTGGGTCCTTTCCTTCCTGCCGTTCTTCCTGATACTTCACTTCCCCTGGTCCCTTGTCCCATTCCCATGTTTCTCTCCTCCTACTTCTCCGAAACCCATTACTACCCTTACTACCCGCTGATCGCTTCATAATGGTTCCTCTTTCTGCCCATCACATTTTATTCTCCCTTCTCCTCTTTACTTGCAACCCTACCTCTGCTTTTCCTCCCACGTCCTCTCTTCCCCGATCTCGCAAACCTTTTGGACATCCCCCACTTTTTCCTCTGACAACTTTTTCTCTTTCCTTGGACGGATAGATCCCTCCATTAGATATAATCGCCTTTCGTCCTTAACCCCTTTTCCTCCTTTTACTAATTCTCGCCTTATTCCATTTGTTTACCCTTTTTACT